GCATTTGCCCGCTTTAAATGTTACACGACAGTTACGCTTACCGCGGGTTCACTCTACTTGCCGATTATTCAATGATTTTGTATTGCTTTTTATTGCTTCCTTGCTATAATTATGTATTGTTTTCTGATGATTGCTTTCTTGTTGAGATGGGTGCTGTTTTCATCTATAGCATTGGGTGGCTGTCTGAAACTGCGATGGAGTCGATGTTTTGAAAATGGAGGGTCGGAGTAGAACGTTTGACTCCTCGGTCTATGCTAAAACAAAGTTGTTGAACACAGGGCCATGGGAAAGAACCATTGAACATATCCACGGTGCTTATTACCCCTTGTCTGGCCAGGTACAATGGCGCAGTTGTTAGTTAATAGCCATGAGACGACGCGGACTGATCGGTAGAAGGGCTCCTGACGCCGACTGAAGTGCCAACAGTCGTGCATGGCAAGTGGAGCTGGGTTCACAGGCTTGCAAGTCAACTCAAGCTATGGCCGCTATAGCTCTTTTGGCATATCTTTCTAGCCTGGGTGCCATTCTCCGTAGTTTCTACCCGCTCCCTATTGTCCGTGGTGCCCAGCGACATTAGGGAGCGGGCGGAAGCTACGCTGGATGGCACCCAGGCTAATATCATTCAGTCTACTTGGTCGATTTCTCCTGTACTTTTTCCAGCAATTGGGGCCTGGTAGAGACCAGTGCGTTACGCCAAAGAGCGGCAATGTCGGGTAAACAATACAGATACAGATGTGAACAAGAAAACTGTTACTCAGGCAACTGGACAGATTTTGGAAACTGTCAGACGTTCCCAGTAGCAGCCAATATTTTTCACCAGTCACTGACAAAACGTATATAACTGTATGTTGTTGTTTTTTGTGTGTATCTCCTTTAATTACCTGGATGTCTAACCTTCATGGAGGATACAGATGTGTACAAGAAAACCGTTACTAAAGCAACTGGGTCGATTTTGAAAACTGTACGACATTTCAAGTAACATTCACTTTTCGCCAGTCGTTTTTTTTTCATTTAATTACCCTGCTGTCTAACCTTCCCGGGCGGTACAGCTGTATGTATCAGCCCTACCCGAGTGATTTTAGCCCTCCCGTCTCTCCTCCCATCTCCCCATCAGGAGGTGATTGTACAAGGCTTAGCGACGTCTGCAACAGGTCCTGCTGACGTCATCACGTCATGGGACCGGCGAGATAAGATGGGGGATAACTCTGTGGGCCAAGTCAGGGGAATTGTCTGGTTGTCGTCAGTTCTCAACATCATTAAAAGCGCAGTTCCTGACATGAAAAGCTATCAGCCATAAAAAAAACCAGACCATAGCATGTTCAGGACAAAATATACAGAAACCGGAAGTTCTGCTGCAGTACCAAGGTCAGACACCAAGAGGCCCAAATTTGACCTTGACCTTGACCTTCGTCTTCCGATACCAAATATCACATTATGTTAACCACAAGTATGCGGAAACACAGACAGACGGACAGACACACACACACACACACATACCAAAAACAATACCTAAATTTTCCTGTAGGTAAAAAGGGCAGAGAGTGCCTACTTCCGTCTGTACGATATTTCCCAATGGCTGGATCAGTGTGATAAGTGTGTGAAAGGTCATGACCGGAAACTTTCATTCCTGTATGGGATGACCCAGTTTCTGAGAGAGTACTCTGTAAGCCTGACTGAAATTAGAAAAAAAAATGCTGAAAAAATATACTTTAATTCGACTAATTGTTAAGAATCTACAGTCGTAACAACTTTAAGTTTACATAGCACTGTTTCCAGTGTATACATATAGAACGCGTAACAGGTGCATGTTGTTGTAGCAGGTTGTAAGCGGTGCTGAGAATGTACAGAAAATCACAAACCTCGCGGGCCGCCAGGCATAACCAGAACATAGGCGAGAGGAAAAACCTCGTATTAGGGTTACTTCTTGTAATCAGTCGGCATATCGCAGATATACATGTATGTTACAATGTAGTGAGGGAAAACTGTATGGAAACTATTTGCCTTGATGGCAATAAAAAGGTAGCAAACAAAAGCAGGTATTTCTCCTTTGCAATGAAATGTTTCGCTTCTTCCGTTTGGTTTGTTTTGAAAACGAAAAAACAAGTCCCTAAACTGTTACGTTTGTTTCAATCAAGGGAAGTGCCCCAAGCAAAGTAAGAAGTATACTGTACTTAAATACACCTCTTAACCTCCTGACATTCACCTATAGACACCTAAGATAGATCCATTGCACCTGGTCAACCTTCCACAAAATTGTCTCGCTTCTCCATTTGTTTCGCGTTGATAGCGAAAAAGTACAAACTAGTCCCTAAAATGTTTATCTCAATCAAGAAGTGCCCCCAATACAGGGTATAAGAACTATACTGTACTCCAATACAGGTCTTGACCTCCTGACATTCACCTATAGACACCTAAGATAGATCCATTGCACCTGGGTCAACCCAACACGTCAAATACACCGCGGGATCAATTTTGTAGTCAGAGTTTGCAGGAGGGCCCAGACTCTGAAACGGTTTCTTCCTTTCCGGGAAGTGTAAAGCATCGACCATCGGGTGACTTCTGACTTATTGAACTGCTGATCTAGTTAGTCAGTGGTGCGCGATATTTCAACATTTCCTTGGGGCAACCCCGAATAATGTAACAATGAATAAATAATATCAATTAAGAAACTTGTGCAGCCGTCATCGTTTTGCTAAAAGATAACCTTGTGTTGTATATATAATAAAGCGGAAGTGAATGAATATATAAACATTCATCTTTATATTGAAAATTTTGAAAAATAGAATTCCATACAGATAAAGTGACTTAAAGTCTTTTAGACAAAATTCAACCTACAAAAACGTATCTAAAATCTACGTGGGCTTTCTTGCATTAATACAAACTTCGACGTTTGTTTAAGAGACAATATATTTGTAAACGGGTAGAAAAGAATTTCGTCTACCGTATTTAATCTGTCAACAGTTAAAAGTAGTTAACGATAACATTAATTCGTCTGGGGCTCGTCCTGAACTTAAGGCTCGTCCGGAAAAAACAGTACAGCGGGAAAGGTATCTAGAGAATGGGATTTTGATCTCTATATATGGTCTTATGCTTATATATAATTTTCCTATCGATAAGGTGTGAGCAATACTATTTTGTCTGGGCTCATCTAGCTCCATCCCAACACTCTTTTGTAGGGTGACAAAATGAGTTAACTTCCACTTTGCCACTTTGCGTTTTGTTCACATTTAAAACCATATACATGCTTAATTTCTAAACGACTTCCTAGATACCTGTCCCTCCTTTTCCTCCCCTCTTTAAAATTCTTCAGATGCCGTACAGAGGATCGATGTAATATTTACCCAGTCGTGTGTCCTGCTGGCCTGTCTGACCCGAAGGTCGAAAGTACGGCGATCCATGTGTTATTCTTTTCTTTTTAACGAAGTTGTTTAATTTCTTTTCTTTCTTTCTTTATTGGCAATGACAACAGGTCAAGACACAGGTTATCAAGGCAGTGTAAACTGGTATTAGATAACCCACATGTACAGACGTGCAGACGAACATGAAATAAGAAATCTACTATAAATACAAGACCTGAAATAAAGATAACATATCAACTGGTTACAAGGTACAATACTATAATACATAATATAAGAAAAATCGAGACATTCCTAACTAGCAGCAATATGTGCAAAGAGTGTAGATACTAAATTGGGATGAATGGAAGGCATTGGGAAAAAGTTAAACATGAGTGCAAGTTTAAAGAAGAATCATGACAAAAGGTGGTTTCTGCAGTGAGCCTTGAATTGACTGAGAGTGGGAGAGTCGGTGATGTGTCTGGGTAGACTGTTCCAGAGCCGGGATGTGTAGGGGATGAAGCTGTTTAATTTGTTGATTAGTTTATTCCATAATTGACTGCGTGAAGCGGAACAGCATAGAAAAAGGTTGAACGTTTTTCTCCCAAACTCAGAGGAAAATTTAAAAAATATAGGTTTTGTAAAATTTGTTATTTCTATGCAATTCACCAGTTTATGTGCAGCCTATGATCTAATGAATAACTACAATCTATTCTTGGGATATATATATGGCACCCCCCCCTCCTATTTTTTCTTCCGACAAAACCTCTTAATTGTGATTTACTTTTACGCGCAGATATGTTATGTTCTTTTGAATTCTTTGTGTCAACTCTTGAGTCTGATAGGCATGTCGTCCATAGAATGAAGTTTGCGCGGCCTTGTTGAAATTTTCCCAGTGACGCACAGTACCAGGAGTCCAGACAAATTAGTCAGACACGTGGACATTAATAAAACCATAACATGATATTTGCTACATAACATGATATTTGATACAGTGTGGACAAAATTGCTCTTATGATATTATACTACCATTGAATAGAATATTTCTATGAGAGAGATTCCTTATTTAATGGGCACGGGTATTGTGCGATTTTTGACCCAACATTTAATGTTATTGCGACATATTCCTACTTACTAAGTATGTTTTTCAGTTAAAACTCCTCTAGCAAGGATTGTTATGTTTCCTAGTCAATATCACAGGCTTCCCAATTCACTGCAATCAATCTATACGATCGGCCATGTGGATAGTTTATAATACCCAATAGTAAAAACGACAATAAGTTACTCATTACTGATATACCTCATCTGATATATTGTCATGAAACTTACATAACAGTGCTACCGTGATATATTTGGTATATTTTCCTGCTATATGTATGTATATTGTTCATCTTAGCCACAGTACCACCTTTACCCTTTAAGGTGAAAGAACACGAGCAATGGTGCGAAACAACAGCCACAGCAAACATGTCCAACTGGCCCCCAGCCAACGTTTGTATACGACAGCTGGTCACGTCAACACATGACTGAAATTTCCCCATGCACAACCTCTCTATTGAATGTCATTTTACCCCCTTAATACCCAATAACTGCAGTTTTGGTGACAGAAAGTCCCCGTATTTTAGACGTATGAACCTGTAGGTAGAGTCAATTGTGCGTACTTACGTGTTAGTTTCACAGCAGGCATTAACGTTAACGTCAGAAGTGTTACAACGCCCCACACATATCCTCTTCCCACAGCGTTACAAGCCATCGCCTTCCGTGCGCGTGTTTCCCGTCTCTTCCTTCTCAGATCGCTGGAGATCTTTCCCGGCCAGGAACAGCCCTTACCGGCTCCTTACAGGCTTGCGAAGGTGTCTGACACCACAAGGCGGAAGCCTGGGACTCGAACTCCGAACCCCCGGGTCGTACAACGCGGTACTGCGGTTCACCTAGTTCGGTTCCCGCCCGGCCGGATGAATGGCGTGCGGCGACACAAAACCGTCACGTCGCGGATGTGTCGAGGCCTGCGATTGGTCGCCGGTCCCCCAGGGGCACGTTCCAAAATGTTGGCCTTCCCGACGAACGAATGGCTACAGTTTGCAGAGCTGACAGACTGGTCGGCTCGCTCACTTATCGTCTGCAAAAATCGTTCAGCCCTGTCAGACGATATCACAAATTTCATCAATACCTCATTCTTCAGTCAGGTCGGGCGACATTTATGGGTTCCAAAGTTCGCCTGACGCAGACGACAGTTCTCTCAGAGGACGGCGTTGCTAGGTTACCGGTAATCAGGCCGCCATTAAAGGATAATGCCTGAGAGAAGAGGTCAGGGTTAACTTCTCGTAAGAGGGTCAAGGTTGCAAGTAAGTGACACTCGAAATTCTTAGGATTGTTCTTTTGATGTTTTTAAGATGCTTAAGATTTGAGGTTCACAAATTAACTTACGTGGCGAGTTCTGGGTTGGTGTTTAACCACGTTTCGCTGTAATGTTGTTTACAGTGGCAATATTGGTGTTAGTCAAACATTGCTGGTTTTGACGCCAACTTGTCGCGTACACGTGTGTTCGCATTTGCTCTCAAAAACACCACCGAAGACTAATACTGTTTTATTTCTACTTCAAGTTTATCGTTCAGACAATTATTCACAATAACGTTAAAACGTTACACGTGTTAATGATATATCATGTTTTGAGTTCGATAACACATTCTACTTCAGTAGTTCCTAACATGAACTGCGTTCTATTTTGAGTGTAATGTTATAGTAGTAAAGATTTCATTTGTGTAGGCAGATTCGGTTGGGATACGATGATCTTTACTTAAGAGCACGATCATGGTTTAGAGTATTAAATCCTGTATCAAATAGTTCGAGTTAGGCAAGGACAGGTAAGAACTAGAAAGGCCAATATTTGCTTTGGAGCAAATACAGCGATGGGTTCACCACATTTTACGACATGGCAGGGAAAGAATGAGAAACACAAGGGAAAACAATGATTTACATTGATATAACTATAATATGAAGTAACATACAACTAAAACAACAGTTGGATAGCTATTCCCTACTTTATTAGTTAGGATTTTTAATTGCATAATGCAAACTGTTGATTTTCAAAATAAAATAAAAAAACGTCCATGCCCCGCATTCCAATGCTGGAGCAGGAAAGCTTGAAATACCTACCAAAACACTTGAATACAGACATACTGTCAGTATGGAAATGCTCTGTGCAGGTGTTAATCAAGTTAAATCCCAACAGCCAATCAGCAAGAAATGCTCTGTGCAGGTGGAAATGCTCTGTGCAGGTGTTAATCAAGTTAAATCCCAACAGCCAATCAGCAAGAAGTATAGAGGAAAGCTGCATGCCTATTGGTTGATGCCCTGCATTCCATTGTGATGACTCATGCCCAAACGTGGTAAACAAGGCACAGTAACACAGTAATACATTTGCTATAACACAGCCAAAAAAACTCAAATAAAACCATTCTAAAAGCCTGTATCACAATAATTTAAAAAACGCCTAGGGGTATTTGCCCACTGTACCTCCATACCAAATTTCAGGACCTTGGGCCCTAAAATGAAGAAGCTGAATCCATTTAAAAAATGGCAGGAGAAGGAGGAGAAGAAGAAGAAACATCAGAAAAAGCAATATGGGTTCACCACCACTTCGTGGTGTGGTGAACCCATAATTAAAACACTTAAAAAGTCAAATTTTTTATTCACCCATTCGGACATGGAAGCTTTATTCTTTGCAAAGTTGCAGCATGATCAATGAAATATGGAGAATTAAATTCTCAGGAAAATGAACATTTGTATACACCTACATGCTGAAAGAATAATGATAAGTGTATTACAAATTCCTGCACGAAGGCTAATTGCAAATAACAAAGATAAAAGAACAGTGAAGCAGAGTACAAAACAACATCAAAATCCACAAGACAAAAGGCCATTGTCTAAAATTATAGCAATGTAACGTTACGTATATTTATACGTATATTAACCCACCACCACACAAATTGTGGTTCTGTCCATGTCATATGATACTTCAGTGTAATGTATACGCCGCAGATATCAAACTAACAATGACACAGGACACGCTTATCATAACAACCAAGGTCGTGTCCTTGATATGAGATCGCTTGGCGGGAATAATTGAAACCCGATAGCATCAGTGATGTATTACCGCCATCTGCCCAGAGGAAATGGCCTGTATACATGCCGCACAATTAGACTGTACCAAGTGGTACGGGGGATGAAGTTACGACATGAGTACACAAACTCACGTGCAAATCTGTAAAGTCTGACTCCAACGGTTTACAACATCCAACATGGCGGCTGTGACGTCAAGGGTGAAAACTGGCCCCCCATATGTTGCTGATACAACAATGAGGACAATTCCTACATAACACCCATTAACAGACAAACAAACACACGCATACACATATTTGTGATTACTCTACGATTGTAGTAAAACACGCATTAAGGAATAGTCCATGCAGATCAAACCTGACGAAAAGCGCAATCCTCAGTTGCAAAACTATTGCCATCTCAGCGAACAAATTACAGCGAACAAGTCATCAACACGAACATTTATCCCGACTCTTAGAGCTCTGTCTTATCGGGCTCTTTTTTTGGAGGTGCTAGAGGGTCCCACTTCTTTATGTCATCTTTAGCGCAAACCGAACCCTGGAAGATGTGCTTCCCCGTATTTTCCCCATACAGCCACTCATCGAACTTGGGCAAACTCAGTACCACCAAGTCCGTAAACTCCGTGTCGTCGTCGTTTCGTCCGTAGACCCCCACGCCGAAAGCTTCCAGCTTGGCGCTGTCATCTCCGTCGCCGTCGTAGCAGACGGCCTTCCAGAAGTAGCTGGGAAAGAGCACGCGACCTTTCACCCACTTATCCTCATCACTCATCTTCGTCCCCGTGATGACGTAAAGGACACTATTTTTAGTTGCGCTGTCGAATATGTCCTTAGCCTTTTTCGTGACCCTGAATTCAAACTTCTTCCAACTGTTCTTATTGAACTTTGGAGCCTGCGAAAAAAGAAAAGAGAAAGTCTGCATTTGTCTCGGCTGACATCCTCCAATCACAATCTGTATACCTTCTTATACTTATACTTATAAATAAACATATACATATACATGAAAGTATACCACATCCATACACCACTCCATAAGTTATCGTAAAACGTCAGTCTTACTTGAGGAGCCATGTTTATCATGCTGAAAGTGGCATCAAGAGCGTCCTGGTTGTTCTTATTGACTTCACATGGGTTGAGGTGCCCCCTATGAGCTATCCTGCCACAACCGTCGAGGTCTGTACGCAGAGCTTGGCAGTCTCCACACTTCTCCATGATCATGCTGTTGTTACATGTAGTTGTACAGTCTGCAATGTTGGTGACCCCCCATTTGTGGGTGTCCTTCCAACCACATGTCTTCTTGAGATAGCTGTGGAACGTCGAATGGCACAGGCCTGTACACACAAAAGATGATGCCATCCGTTCATGCATTAAGTTGTTAAAGACCTGTGCAAATACCTGTTTATATATATACTATTGGACTTTAAGATAGATATATTCACACAAACTGATACATACAGGGGCAGGGAGATTATGAATGTGCACAACAAAATGCTGGTCTCTCGGGGGTTATGCCACTGACTGTTGCCTTACCTAGCTGAATGCGTTTCCACAACGAGTTGTTCCGGTCACATGTTTCTTTCGGTTTCCCTTCTATAGCTGTTGCCGTATACTCGGGAATCCGGTACTTTGTGTTGTACAGCGTAGCGTAAAACATCTCTGTTTGGTCCTTCTGCGTCTGACAGATCCTACTGGCGTCAGATCTAGAAGAGTCTCCGTAGCTGCTAGGTGGCCATTCATGATCAGTCCCAACAAAGAATTCAGGACAGGAGTCGTCGACCTTGGGGCACCTCCACGAACGTTTTTTAGCTGGGTCTGTAATCATAGATACCAATTGAATTATTAGATTAGAAACCTATATACATGTATTCTGCGAATGTTACTTCATCAAAGGATGGCTCACCTGGCAGCAGTCTGCACTTTGTGGTCCCACTGGATTTGCTCTTGTCGGCTTTGAGTGTTCTTGACCTATACACGAATTCGGTATCAGCACCCTCTTCACTGTCAATGGTAGTCTCTCCACCTTCTTCGAAGGGTGAGGCTTGTGGCATCCATGCCTGCAGTCCAAACGTAGAAGTAAAAGATATTTAACGCTTGCCAAACTTATCGGGCTCTTAATTATAATTATAACTGACCATGGGTTGGGTTTTGGTTCAAACGTCATGCGACTTATGTGGAAATTCTCAGATCTTCCAGCATAGCCCCATTTTTAAAGGGAATGTATATAACGAATAACGATAGTAATGACATTGATTATAATGATTAGATATTGGACTTTGTGGTTCGTATATCTTATAATTAAGGGATAATGACCCGCCCCGAGGTGAATATGGTGCGATAAAGCCTTGTCAGTTGCTATAACCCCCGAATAAAGCCACCGAGTGAGCGCAGCCATCAGTCATACCGGGTTTTGACTCTATTTGTGACATTACGGCGTCATAAGGAATGTGGAATGGAGCCTTCTGATTGGTCAATGTCACCCGGCTATATGATAATTGTCCTTAGCCTAAGAAAATGATATGCTATAGTTAATTAACATCAACAACAAACCAGTGCAGCAGCGACTCCAAGCAGTCCGACTGTGAACAGCTTGCCTGGGTGTCCAGCCATCGTGTGTACCCTGTAGCAGGACATAGTCAGTTACTTCACTCGGCGAAGATCAGGTTTCCAAACTATTTCTGAAGCCTTACAAAATACTGTTTACCTTGGCACCTTCATTGCCATTCCACCGTCATGCCAAGGTATATGTATGCATGTATGCTAGCGATTCAAAGGGGGTAGTGGGCAGCACCTTTACGTTACAAGCCAAGCGTTACTCACAAACAGGAGGACGTCCAGAGTTTGTCCTGACAAAGGCACAAACTTGGGGCGACAGTGGGGCTCAGAATACTCTTGTGTCCATAGCGAACGGACAAACTTGTGTCCAAACACGAGCTACCCAAACATCCCCACCCAAACCCTTAACTCCGGTGATAAAGTAACGGTCAGTAATCTTCGATGGACTCACCGACAATCGATAGTTTTGTCACTGCACACTTGTCTTTTGTTACTAAAATGTTTGCGGATAAAAATGACTGAATACAGGTTTGGTATTCTCCTTAAAACATGGGAAAAGCGGGGCTACACTCCTTCGTCAATCACATGGAACGGTCTGCTTCCAAGCGATTGCAAATTCCAATGGCGATAGCAGGTTGCACATTAGATTTATTAGGTACATCACAGTAGACCCTACAACGGACATCGGCCCACCTGGTGGCTGTGGACTTTGGACTAACACTAAGTAACAGCGTCAAAAACGTCGGACCACAACCCTCGGGCGATAGGGAATGACTTTGAGTCCAGAATGATTCACGCTTCCATTGCCATCCCCAAAAAACAGCCGTGTTCTGAGCGTTTTCATCTGACGGATAAATTCTAAAAAACAAAAAAGATATAAGAGTAAAGATTGACTCACGTTTGTCACCTGGCCTTGTAGTTGTCCCTCGCACCTGCTTTGAATGAGCACGTTCCGCCCTGGATACGCTGTCAACAGTACGGTACAAAGGACGGGACGCAGTAGGATACTCGTTCTTGTTGACAGTTTGGCCTGTTCCAAGTTGAATGTTAAGGGTGAAGGCAACACTTTTTTTATTTAGCGAGAACTATTAACTTTTTCTTCTACTTCTTTCCTTACGATTAAATATGAATCATATGGACTCTGCATGTAGTTTTCGGCATTTCGGCTCCTTAAAAACAAGGGAAAAGCATAACTAGATTCATGTGTCAATCACATGGAACGGTCTGCAGGACAATGGCTTTTCACCTTTGCGCTTGACTGGCCCGTTAAACAATTGGAGCGTCTTGATACCCAAAACACATTAAATACCTTTAAGTTAGTTCCTCCCGTTGCTGGTAATTCAAGTAATTTCCACGACCAGTGGAGGAGTAGTTTTTCAGTGAGCTAAAACTGGATCGAGATCATATTTACTTTTATTATAGCAGAACGTTAAATTTTACAAGTTCCCTTAACGTTACTTTAAGTTCTTGTCATGAGTTTTCGTATTTTTGTTGTAAGAATTAGACTCCGCAATTCCTTCTCTGGCCGTTTGAGGTGTGGAAATGCAGTTCATTATAAGGTCACAGCAAGTAAATTCTATGGATGACATCCTCCGTAGACTCCAAATCTAATGCGAGCGGCGAAAAAAAGGCGGGCCGAAAAAAGCAAGGTTCCTACCTTTTAAACTCTTGACTCAAATCATTGTACAAATGGTTTTTATTCAGTGGGAACACCACATGTACACAGCCAGCATCACGTATCACTGCATCAAAGTAAGAAACAAAACATTAATTCAGAGCCTTTTCTCATCTCCTCTCTTTACATTTATCTGCCATTCACCTTCCGGCATGGCAACAGACATCTTTGCACATTTTTGGCATGTTGACCACTGTCAGAAGGCAACAACATTTTTTCCCAAATCAGGCGAAAATTAATGCGCGCGCTGATGCCATCCATAAAAATGACTTGCTCTGGCATAAGGCAGCTTGTGTCGGCCTCACGGTTCTGTTGCTGATGCCCTCTGATACGGAGCATGCCCATCTCGTCACGTGACGTCTTCGCCAAAGGGTCATATTTCAGCTGCTGCAAACTGGTTTCTTTGGACTTGAACTTATCCTGGATGGTCGGTCCAAATGAGCCTAAAACACTAAACATGGGAAACACGGCGGCGATTTTGGTCCTTCTGGCCTGTTTGGTACCGGATTGTGCTCTGGGAACGCTACAGTTGTCCGCGACGGTTCCAGAGAACGCTCATGTGGGGGAGACTATCAACAATCTTCGGTCGGACCTAAAGGAAGATCGGGAAGAAGTCAGGTGTGACATTGTAGCCGGAAACAAGAACGGGCGCTTCCGTGTGAACGACTGCGTGATCCAAGTGGCTCGTCCGTTGGATTACGGCGTCCACCCGAGCTATAACCTCACGGTAAACGTCACTGGGTCTTCCGGAAGGTCCGAGCAGGTGTTTGTTGATGTACAAGTCCAAGACGTGGAGGGATACCCGCTTGCTTACAACGACACGTGTGAAACGCCGATTCGGAGTGGCCCTATGATGTCAGAAGATTTCTTGTTCGACATGAAATTGACAGGCGAGTTCATGATAGTGGGAGTTGGAGAGATGTCCGTGTCACGATACATGGCACTCGGTAACGATGAAACTACGTATACCATCGATAAGAATGGTTGTCTAGTGTGGTTTACGTTTGCCCCCTGGCACACTTATGACGTAGTTTTGTTTCAGTCGATCTGGGATTCCCAAGTACATTGCATGCAGTGTTTAAATGGTGCGGGATTGGTCGCACAAGGTCAAGTATTTCGCAGAAATACCGACTTTATTCGAAGGTGCTACACCGGACCTACACCTGTGATGAATGATATTTTCATGTTGGCCGGTTCGATCCCGCTTTCTTCAGTTAAAAGGAATACTTTTTCATGCAAGTTTCCAGAAAACGTTTCTTACATAATAGTTATAGCTGATAGCTCGAGACGGATAGCAATACCTATCCGTTTAGAATTTGAGATCCAGCCTGTCGGATGTCCCCCGAACAGGTACGGGGTGTTGTGTGACCAGAACTGCACCTGTGAGAACGGCGCCCGCTGCCACGGCCTGAACGGGGCCTGCAAGTGTCAGCCCGGATGGCAAGGTGTCGTCTGCGACATTCCTCACAGAACCGTGGCCATTATCGCGACTCCTGGCGACTCACGACAGATTTACATCACCGGCTCTGTAACGCTGCACTGCAGGGTTTTCCATCTGGCTGCTGAAAGGATGACGTGGACATTTCCTAATAAAACGGAAAAGTGGCTGCAGGGCGAAGACCGAAAACCGTACGAAGATCATATAATTATCCACGACATCCAGTCCGAACACAACGGTACCTACACCTGTACGGTGTTAACGCAAGACGGGACGGTCTTTAACGCAAGTTACGAGCTTCAGGCCGTCGCCTGTCCTCCCGGTAAAACGGGTGAATCGTGCCGAGAGGAGTGCGCCTGTAGCCACGGTGGCAGCTGTGACCGGTGGGCCGGCTGTGTCTGTCCGCCGGGATGGACGGGAACCACGTGTCAGACCTCCTGCCCAGTAGGAACCTACGGAGTGGGCTGCAGCAGCCGGTGCGGGTGTCAGCATGACGCCACCTGCTCCCCTACCGACGGTCGGTGTAACTGCACGGCGGGCTGGTTCGGCAGACACTGCAGCAGACCGTGCTTCGCAGGTCGGTACGGATTGAAATGTTGGCAGGCCTGTGCCTGTAAGAACAACGCCACGTGTCACCACGTGGATGGATCCTGCACCTGCGCGCCACCCTGGACTGGTAAGCGGTGTGACGTGATTAAAATCCCGTTTTCGAATTACACCACGACTGCCAACGTGTACCCATTCCCGTTGTCGCTCCAGATTGCCGTACCCGTGACGCTGACTTTGCTAGTGGCCGCAATATTAATGTTTACACTCTACAAACGGAACACGGCTAGACATGCGGCACAGGAACAGCGTCTAGAGGAGACCAGAGCCATACTGGAGCTGAGAAATATGGAAGATGACCTGGCACAGAGTTTGCAGCCCGGCTGGCTCAACCGGTGGGAGAGGAGCGCTGACGATCTGACTCTGGACGAACTGGTCGGACTGGGCGCGTTTGCACAGATCAGGAGAGGCCAGCTCCGTGTGGCTGGCGCCGACGTCACGGTTGCGGTCAAGTCCGTTCGCGGAGAGGACAGGCGGTGCTACCGAGCCTTCTGTCGGGAAGTCGCCGCGCTGATAGCCGTACACGAAAACAACCACGACCAACATGGCGGACATCCCAACATCGTCAAGCTGTTTGGAGTCGTGACCAAGTCCTCACCCAAAAGTATTCTTCTGGAATTTGCTGCCAAAGGCGAACTTTTGGTAATCCTAAAGGAACAACCTCGGCCAAACGGTTCTCTTGTCATGTTTCTCAGCTACGCCGTCCAAATATCCCGTGCCTTAAACGAGCTTCGAAATCTGCGGATCGCTCACGGTGACGTGGCCGCCCGAAACGTCCTGGTCAGCGGCGATGACGTGGCCAAACTTGCTGACTTCGGTCTGGCTCATGACGTCTACACCACGACTACCTACGTGTCCACAGTCCAAGGTGACGCGGACGAACTCCTGCCCCTGAAGTGGATGGCTTTAGAGTCGCTGGAGTCTCGCGAGTTCACGTGCGAGAGCGACACGTGGTCGTTCGGCGTGCTGCTGTGGGAGATCGCCGCCTTCGGGGAGGAGCCCAGCTACCAGCGCCATCTGAGTTGTCCCAAGTTGGTGGGGATCCTGAGGCAGGGGGTCCGTCTGGAGAGGCCGCCCGGATGTCCGGAGAAGCTGTATGACGTCATGAAGTCGTGTTGGCAGGAGGACCCGTCGGTAAGGCCAGAGCCGGCAGAACTGGAGCGGGAACTGACAGAATGTCGCCACGAAATGGACCCGCGTCTGGTTATGGAGAAGGAAACTGCAGTTTAGTCCATACTGGACAGCAGTACTATTACACAATATGGCAGGACACTATATCACCTCAAGAACGCGTGTCTCTGAAATGTGGTTAATCGTTGGGCAGTCGCCATGTTTAAACTGAAATTGTTTATCGGAAATCAGTTTATATAAATGTATAGACGTCAGGATCCTCTTTCTCTCTCACCAGAACTTCGACTTTGACTAGCTCCACGAAAACAGATTGTAAGCCTCCAAAGGCTTCCTGAAACCTATCTGGACTGTGTACTAACCACGTGTGTGTTTGATTGATTGCAAAAAGCGAAGTCTACTATATTCAATCTTTGGTATTATGTTACAGATGTACACTTGGAAACATAAAAATCCAGACAGTCTACAACAATGACCACATTTGTTCCTAAATGACCGTTTAATTAAATTCTCTATTAGTATTATATCAACATAGCAGACATTCGTGCGTAAATACCTTGTCCACATTTTAAGCAATCATGTATAGTTTGTCAACCCTTAATCTTAATGATTTAGATGCTATATATATAATATACTAGTACTGCTTTATGACACGGAGTTACGTTCAAGATTTTAGCTATATAATAATAACGCTCTAAACCAACCTTTAGTTCAGCCCTAATGGCTGCGAAGTGATGCAATAATGGCGCTGTGTACTGTATTGTTGTGCTGTCGTAGTATTGCGTTTGAAATAAATCGATGATATAATTGTAATTTTCGCAAGATGCTGGAATATTTGAATGTTATAATGATAATCATACAGTAGAGTATACAAGAATAACGACATTTCATGAATAAACCCTCAATCGCGTATCTAATACACAAAGTCTATATACCTACATGAACATTAATGAATGATCCTTTTTTTTATAGAGAAAATGGTTAGAAGGGAAGGGAAAAACATATGCAACTACTAAGTCGCTATACCAGATTCCCATGGGAAATGCTATTCCCTTATAATTATATGGTATGCAAACACAAACAAATTCAGCAACTGCAAACAACTGTCAAAAGCCAATAGACATACAAATGTATAAGTACTTTTCTCGTTTAAATTTTTTTGACTTAATAAACACCTTCAAACTGTAAATATATCCAGATGTCCAATATGTTTGCTAGCGTTACTGCTTTACATTGTCTGTCACTCCGAGCTTTCCTACTCGAGGTCCCTGACCAGACGCGGGTCCATTTCGTGGCGACATTCTGTCAGTTTCCGCTCCAGTTCTTCCGGCTCGGGCCTTACCGACGGGTCCTCCCGCCAACACGACTTCATGACGTTATAAAGCTTTTCCGGACATCCGGGCGGCCTCTCCAGACGGACCCCCTGCCTCAGGATCCCCACCAACTTGGGACAACTCAGATGGCGCTGGTAGCTGGGCTCCTCCCCGAAGGCGGCGATCTCCCACAGCAGCACGCCGAACGACCACGTGTCGCTCTCGCACGTGAACTCGCGAGACTCCAGCGACTCCAGAGCCATCCACTTCAGGGGCAGGAGTTCGTCCGCGTCACCTTGGACTGTGGACACGTAGGTAGTCGTGGTGTAGACGTCATGAGCCAGACCGAAGTCAGCAAGTTTGGCCACGTCATCGCCGCTGACTAGGACGTTTCGGGCGGCCACGTCACCGTGAGCGATCCGCAGATTTCGGAGCTCGCTCAGGGCACGGGATATATGGACGGCATAGCTCAGAAACATGACAAGAGAACCGTTTGGCCGAGGTTGTTCCTTTAGGATTACCAAAAGTTCGCCTTTGGCAGCAAATTCCAGGAGAATACATTTGGGTGAGGACTTGGTCACGACTCCAAACAGCTTGACGATGTTGGGATGTCCGCCATGTTGGTCGTGGTTGTTTTCGTGTACGGCTATCAGCGCGGCGACTTCCCGGCAGAAGGCTCGGTAGCACCGCCTGTCCTCTCCGCGGACGGACTTGACCGCCACCGTGACGTCAGCGCCAGCCACACGGAGCTGGCCTCTCCTGATCTGTGCAAACGCGCCCAGTCCGACCAGTTCGTCCAGAGTCAGATCGTCAGCGCTCCTCTCCCACCGGTTGAGCCAGCCGGGCTGCAAACTCTGTGCCAGGTCATCTTCCATACTTCTCAGCTCCAGTATGGCTCTGGTCTCCTCTAGACGCTCTTCTTGTGCCGCATGTCTAGCCTTGTTCCGTTTGTAGAGTGTAAACATTAATATTGCGGCGACTAGCAGAGTCAGCGCCACGGGTAAGGCAATCTGGAGCGACAACGGGAATGTGTCCGTGTCCGTTTCGATGACGTCACACCACTTGCCAGTCCAGGGTGGCGCGCAGGCGCAAGTTCCATCCACGTGGTTACACGTGGCGTTGTTCTTACAGGCACAGGCCTGCCAACATTTCAATCCGTACCGACCTGCGAGGCACGGTCTGCTGCAGTGTCTGCCGAACCAGCCCGCCGTACATGTACACCGACCGTCGGTAGGGGAGCAAATTGCGTCATGCTGACACGAGCACCTGCTGCTGCAACCCTGTCCGTAGGTTCCCACTTGGCAGGAGGTCTGACACGCGGTTCCCGTCCATCCCGGCGGACAGACACAGCCGGCCCACCGGTCACAGCTGCCACCGTTGCTACAGACGCAGTCCTCTCCGCACGATTCACCCGTTTTACCGGGAGGACAGGCGACGGCCTGAAGCTCGTAACTTGCGTTGATGACCGTCCCGTCTTGCGTTAACACAGTACAGATGTAGGTACCGTTGTGTTCGGACTGGATGTTGTGGATCTGCACACGATCTTCGTGAGCGTCCTGCAGCCACTTTTCCGTTTTATTAGGAAATGTCCAAGTCATCCTTTCAGCAGCCAGATGGAAAACCCTGCAGTGCAGCGTTACAGAGCCGGTGATGTAAATCCGTCGTGAGTCGCCAGGGGTCGCGATAATGGCCACGGTTCTGTGAGGAATGTCGCAGACGACACCTTGCCATCCAGGCTGACACTTGCAGGCTCCGTTCAGCCCGTGGCAGCGGGCGCCGTTCTCACAGGTGCAGTTCTGGTCACACAACACGCCGTACCTGTTTGGGGGACATCCGACAGGCTGGATCTCAAATTCTAGACGTATAGGTATTGCTGTATGTCTCTTCCCAGCTATAACTTGAAGAATAGAAACGTTTTCTGACAGCTTGCATGAGAAATTATTTCTCTTAACTGAAGAAAGCGGGATTGAACCGGCAAATGTGAAAATATTATTCAACACGTGCACTGGTCTAGGTCCCGAGTAATAAACTCGGATAAACTCAGTACCGCCACGAAATACTTGACCTTGTAAGACAGATCCCGCATCATTAAAACAGTTCCAGCAATGATATTGTGAATCCCAGATCGACTGAAACATATCTACGTCATAAGTATGCCAGGGAGTATAGGTAACCCACACTAGACAACCATTGTAATCGATTGTATGCGAAGTGTCATAGTCAAGTGTGAAGTATCTTGACACGGACATCTCTCCAACTCCCTCTATCATGGCCTCGCCTGTCACTTTGATATTGAACAAAAAATCGTCTGACATCATAGGGCCACTCCGAATCGGCATTTCGCACGTGTCGTTGTAAACAGGCGGGTATCCCTCCACGTCTTGGACTTGTACATCAACAAATAGCTGCTGGTGTCTTTCGGAAGACCCAGTGACGTTTACCGTGAGGTTATAACTCGGGTGGACGTCGTAATCCAACGGACGAGCCACTTGGACCACGCAGTCGGTCACACGGAAACGCCCGTTCTTGTTTCCGTCCACAATGTCACACCTGACTTCTTCCCGATCTTCCTTTAGGTTCAGCCGAACACTTGTGACGGTTTCCCCCGCGTGAGCGTTCTCTGGAACCGTCGCGGACAGCTGTAGCGTTCCCAAAGCACAATCCGGTACCAAACAGACCAGAAGGACCAAAATCGCCGTCGTGGTACCCATGTTTAATGTTTTAGACTCATTTGGACGGACCATTCACGATAAGTTCAAGTCCAAACAAACTGGTTTGCAGCAGCTGAAATATGAACCTTTGGTGAAGACGTCACGTGACGAGATGGGCATGCTCCGTATCAGAGGGCATCAGCAACAGAACCGTGGGGCCGACACAAGCTGCCTTGGGCCAGAGCAAGTCATTTTTATGGATGACGTTCCTAGAGCATAATTTAGTACCAAACAGGCCAGGAGGACCAAGAGTGCCGTGTTGTTGCCCATGTTTTTGTTGTTGTTGTTGTTCTACTCTCGTCTGGGCCGATATAGCCCGGGGCCGTTCATGATAAGTTAAAGTCTGAACAAACCGGTTTGCCGCAGCTGACATATGAACCTTTTGGGGGTTACGTCATGTATAAGAAGATGCCTGTTATAGCTTGCACACACAGAGGCCTTTCTGGAGTTTCAACTGGTTTGCGTGCTGTTTGTATGTTTTTGGGCATGTATGATGCGGAAGTGGAAAGCTGATCTTCTAACTGTATGATAGGGGCCTACAGACATGAGACACGTGGGGATATTTGCCTGTTCTAGGATACACATGAAATCTGATCCCCTAACCTGTATATTACAGGCCTGCAAACATGTGACATGCCCATGGGCATATTGGCCTGTTCACTCACACTCGCTATATGGTTTATTGTCTGTTGTTCCCAGTCTTCCGAGGGTTAGACGTTGTTGTACACCATTGCCGAGGCTTGATGGCAGCCCGCCATTCAACGTTATATGAGGCTATAATATCATTTACTTATAATGTTCAAGGAGGTTATATTGCCCTAACTGCAATAAACTGGACACCAAACTAACTAGAAAGTGGCAGTGGCTTATACAAGGTGGTCACTAGCAGAGTACAGGTTAGACTGAACCTTCAACAATTTATTTTACTTTATTGAAGACTGACAACATGTCAGTACACGGGTCAACAAGGCAGTCGAAACTGGTAATAGATGACCCACAAAACCAGCCTTGTTGCTGCCTGGTTGCCACTTGTTATGCACTGTTGCATTTAAATAAACAAACAAACAAATACAGACGATATACAAACATGAATTTGGTCGTAACAATTAAAAAGGAAAGCTGTTCATCAGGCTTTTAGCTAGGATTTTTTTGGTGGGCGTCCATTTTTTTTTATTGTATGCTATGCACAGTGAAGACATGCTGAGTGCAAGATTTTAGGGGGGCTTTTTTGAAATCCATAATGCTCTCAAACACTACTTTCTGCATTTTCAGGTGTAAATTTGAGTTTTTTCCTTCAGTAAACCATCATTTTTGTATTTATAGTAAGGCTGAAGGGAGGCATGTGTGCATGGCAAGGGTTGGGAGTGGAAAAATAGGGCGTCTTTAGGGTGTCCTACAAAAAAGTAGGGCGTCCAATTTCTTATTATTTTCAGTACAGGGCGTCCAATAGACACCCTGGACACCCCCTAGCTAAAAGCCTGCTGTTCATGTACCACAAGGCACAACAGGAAAAGAAGAACAACAAAAATGCCAATGTTAATGTTGTTGTTTATATAAAAACAGATGTCAGCTTCCTTCAAACAGGTCATGTAAGTCTACCCCATCATCGCTGTGGTCCTGTTCCTCATGAGTTGCACTTTTGTCCGACCTTCCCTCTTGTTGCTGTTTCCTGTTTTTGTGTGTTTCCTGATGTTTATCTTTCCTGTGTTGAACTGTATGAGATGGTACCGACTCCGCTTGCTTTGAGAGTATCTCTTTCAGGTAACAAAAGAATCTGAAAAAAAATCAGTAAATCAATCAATTAAGTAATCAATTTAATCAAATGGTTTATAAAGAAGGTATTGCAGTGGAAGGCTGAATTGTGTATCCTGTAGCCTCCATACATGCCAAAAACTGGGGGGGTTCAGGGTCTTTGGGAGCTTTTATGTGCTATTTTCTGATTGCATATAGACAACATAGCCGGCCTGGTTGAATTACTCCCGTTTAGAACTGGGCTAATCAGAAAACAGCCGAAGACCACCAAATCCCCAGTTCTATAAGCCTCACAGTTGCCATGGTACTGACCTTTGCACCCTGCGTTGGTTCTCCTCTAGTTTCCCATTGGCTGCTGTGACCAGGTAACTGACGTAACCTTCATCCACCAACATCCGGCCTCGGTCAGACAGTGGGGCCTCTAGGGTGTGGGTGCTTCTGATGGCCTACAGAAACAATTTCAGAAAAGCTTAAAAAGTGTTCCACAATTTTTAACCTCGCACTGCTAAAAGACAGCGTCCAACGTATGGATACTTCTGAAGCCCCCACATGTACAAATTATCACATTTGTATGCGATGTTACTGTTAGAAAAGCTTTGACTTTGAGTGTTGCACACAAACTACACAAGGCAGAAAACATATCTATAGTATTAGTATAAGGCTTTTGATTGGCTACCCATAATCTAAATACTCAAAGACCATGTTACTGTGTACTACATTTTAAGAGGATCATAGCAGTATGTTAGCGTGTTTAATAGACATACAGTGTAATTCAACATGGCGGATGTGACATCCTATGAAAAAACCTGTATAATATTGCACAGCCAGATTTTCTGTTCTCCCACCCAGCCCTACTCACCACCACAACCTTCCCCTTGCTCCCCAGGGATATCCCAGAGTTCCTGAAGCCAGCCTGCACACCGGCCTGGTGCTGGAATGAAGGGAAGGGAATACCATAAGTAATTAACAAGTTAAAAACAAGGTCATCGGACATAGCAGGCATTAGCACTTGTGTTGCTGTGTTCTAGATGGAAGTCTCAGGCAAAAATGGCAGAACTGAGGATGTATCATGGAAACACACATATACGTTTGTATGACCAAAAAACCCAAGAGAAACTTACGAGAAGTCTTGCATCCTGAATGGTCCTGCACTGAACATGGAGGACGAACGGCTCAAACTTAAACACAGCAGACCCGGTATGGTCATGCATGCGCAGGGACGTCATCTGGGCAAGAAGGGGAAAGGAGAGTCATCATATGTTCGACAAAAATTAAGGTAAGACATAAAATATTTGATATCTTTAATAGTAAGCCTACCTACATGTAACGCTACCTATCTGTGTACATATAATCTAGTATATGAATCACAGTATATGTTGTTACATATACATCAAGTTTTCAGTAAACCTACCATAAAAACCATGCTAGATTTAAAGGCCAGCATAAAAACAGTATAGCTTAAAAGTTTGTATCAGAGGGTACAATTTGTACCTTTACTTGGATATAGATCGAGTATTGTGATTGGCTGGTTGCCTTACCACTGATGCTGTATCAGTCTGAGAGTGGGATATCATCAACCAATCACAGCCTTTCTTCTTTTCCTCATGTTTCTGTGAAAAAACAACAACAATGTTTTCAGGTTGTCATTGTATCGTTCACAACTTCACATAACAGTTAAACATAGCTACACAGATGTTTATGTTGTAATGGGGGAGGGGGCGCACATTTACCTCAGCAAAAACTGAAATTCTCCCCGAACACGAGCTTGTGGTGAAAAGAAACTCTTGTCCGTTGATAAAGTTGACCAGTTCTACTATCGGTTCGTCGATGCTGCCTTTGCGACTCAAATCTGCGGCAGAAAGACACTGCTGTTTCCACCTGGCAAATTCTGCAGCACTGGGCGCCGCCATCTTGAAAATATGAAGCGCACCCTGGCGCTTATGACTTGAACTGCAGCCAGAAGGCGGCTATTTTTGCTGCAGTTCAGGTGAGACCTGGCAGATGGCGCGCTTTATCCCGACATTCTTAGCGCCAAATTGAATTTCAAAATGGCGGCATCCTAGTCGTTTTTTCCCCGATGTATTTTTTCAAGCGAAATTGATGATTTCTGCCCGTGTCTATTAAATGTTTGGCACTATTTCAATCTAGAAGATGACACAGTTCGTCTGGAAAGAGTGTGCCTGGCATGGTAGGTGGTGTTTGACCTTCTAAACGGCATATTTTTATCGCTAAAGATGTCGTAAACAAGATGGCCGTCCCGCGCTCCTTTGTCACCTTAGAACGTCAACAATGCGCGGCGCGGCGCAGTGAGTCATGTACGTGATTCACGCATTCCTACAAATATCTCTGTGTTTTATTTACTCCAGATCGCAGCTGAGCTGGGGAAGTAGATTTATGTCGCAAAATCCATGCGATCGTTTAGATTATCTAGTGTTTTAACGCGACTGTTTCATCTATGTTTGAGTGGTCTTGTTGGTCACGGTATATAGGGTAAGTTTGTAGCATATTTTATGCACACCTACAGATGTCTATGCTGTATGCATGGTCACAGTTCCTTTTGTCACTCTATCAATAGTATCATGTAACCGTGCCGGTGGTAACTCTAATATATGTGTGACAGTCTTACCAATTTGCAAATTGCCGTATATTGCCGTACAACTTGTACTCCTACAAGTACAAGTATGGACTTATGTAGAAAACACCCATTTTTTTTTTGTCCATGCCACTATATATTACTGCTACAAGATGCACTCCTCAACGAGCTTGCATAGCTAGTTATGGGACAATTTTGGAGCACAACGTTGAACAAGTTTTGTTCTATGTCTGTGCAGTTCTGGTGATATATGATCATTGACGCATGTTTCACCCTCTCTTACAGCACCAGGACTTTCCTCTGCGAACGCTGAGTAAGTAGCGTGAGAACATGGCGTCCAACATCCGCGCCCGCCGTGTCGGAGAGCCGTCTCTCGTGCAGCGCGGGCCGTCACCCGAGAGATACGGCGGCTCACTCACGGGTACAATCTTTTGTTCAAGTCTATGAAAATGAAATCATTTGGTTGTCAGACTTTATCTCTAAGGCAATTAGTTGATTGGATAAACTGTATGGGTTAGCATATTGCAACTGGGTTAAACACTAAAACACAATCTGAACCATATGTTCAAGAACTCTTAGTTCTGTCTTTGGCATTTTACTATCACTACATCTGAGTACATCGACAGTGAAATTGAATTTTTATTTCAGCCATGAGTTCAGCATGGAAACAGCTGGGACAGGCCAAGTCTGTGGTGAGTAGATAAAAGTTTGTTCATTTCAAATGCCACCAGTAGCTTTTTGCATGCATTATACTTTATAGTACTCAGTTCAAATGGTATTATTCCATACACCAAAAGTGAAGGAGGGATTGAAATGCCCACCCACAACAATGACAACATGCAGTTTTCATAATTGCAGAAAAATACAACTTGCAATTTTGCTAGCAAAAAGAAAACACACAATTTTATGATTAACCGGATAGAGAGATTATGAATGTTGGAGAGAACAGAAATAAAAACTTTGTATTTCAAATGTTGCAAGTTTTCACAAAGTCAAGACAAGAAAATGTCCTTCCAGCTAAGGCGAGCGGAGAACAGGATCGAAGATGCAGAAAATTTCAAGATGGACGCCAGCCACAATGGGACAGACGAGGCGGCGGGGAGGTACATGTTACCGGGCGGGGTCAGCCTGTCGTCACGGCGACATGACAGGGAGCCTACCGACAGGAGCGTGCTGATGGACCACATCCCGTCCTACCAGATCACTGCTACAGGGTATCCGGAGGTAAGGACTACAGCCATATTGGCACAGCAGGGCTGGAAATCCTTTTCTCAGCACACCTGCACAGGTGCTGGTAACAATGAAAATTACCTGCATCACTCAGAATGTGCAAAGTATGATTCACTATGAATCATACTAAAACTGTCCAGAAACCATTTCTGTTATTTTAGACATCAGAAATACCTGCACAGCTCCAAGTTTACTACATGTATTAGTATTACACTATTCCGAGCCCTGTTGGGGAAGAAAGTCAATGTTAACAATTATGACAAGAAGTTTAAAAAGTCAACAGCAATAGGACAAGACAAAACACAGGGCATGCAGGGAAACTTACATGACTTCTTATTTGAATGTTCACTCCTGTATTGATATTGTTCAAAATATATTAAGGTCAACATTTCTAGTGCTTCCTTGAATATTATTATGAGGGTTGACCTGATGTATGTTTGAGCCACAGACTGATTATGTTTTTCCTCTTTCCAGAGCACCACAGACTACAGAAGCAGGGACAGGTTTCCCAGAGACAGACCTGAGGTTACCAGTAACCCTGCACACAGGAAAGTCAGCAGGAGGGGTGAGGGCATCTTTCATTTCTGTATTCTTGTTATGATTATGTTGTATATGAATGATTGTTATCTTGTACTCACTCTAGATCTGTATCTTAAGTGATGTCATGTATTACATGCAATGTACTACATGTATAGAACTTCAGGGAGAGAAGCTGATGTTCAAATAAAGCCAAAGACATATTATTGTTATCATCTCTACCAGATGGGTAATGTTTTTACTACCACTAGCAAAATTTCATCCAAAGCTGCTTCCAAGTTAGAAGTTAGAACTAAGTACTAAGATAGACAAAGTTATAACTTATATGACTGCTTCTAATGTTCTAGATGGAAAGTACACAGACCACCTCTACCAGCCCACATCCAGAACTAGCTACACGACCCCTGGGCTGACCTCCGACCTGACCTCTGACCTGACCCGACCTCAGCGGGAGTACAGATCTCGCAGCCCGGTGGGAATCCCGGACAGGTCCAAACGGGTGGAGTTCCGGGATCCACTCGAGTCCTACCGCTCGGCCGTCGACCCACAATCCTCGCTGCACGGCAGCTCTGATGACATCATCGCGGGGAACAGCGGGTACGGGAGTGCGGCGTACGGAACAGCCAACATGGCGCCGACGTATACGGTTACGGATCTCTCCAGAAACACGAGAGACGACCGGGCGGACTCGAGCGTCGTGGAGTCCAGCACAAACGTGAAGGTTCTAAACGACACGTCCGCTCGTGTTGGAGCCGAAGGTTTGTTGTTAGATGGTGAAACAACGTCACCATCGAGACTGAACCACTCGGGTGCTTTGTTCTCTTCTGCAAGGGATAGAATTCGCGCAGAGGACAGATACACTGCTGACACCGGTACCGGAGAACACAGGACAACATCAGACATGTACAGGTATCTATCTTAGTCAATCTTTCATAGATGTTAGCTGTTGAGAACACTCAATACGTATTGGTAAACCTAAGCTTATGTACTAAAACTTACCTGCTTTTAGTTAGTATTAATTGTGGTTTTATATATGGTGAAGATGTTTAATGTGTACCAGCAATAAGTTGTAAATATCCAAGAAGTCAATGAACAGTTTTGTTAGTATCATCTTTAGAAAAAGTATGCAATTCACTTTTCAGCCTGTAGCTGTGATATGCTTAAATATATACAATATATTACTGATCATAATGACCACAGTAAACCATTCATGTCTCCATTCCCCCTGACTACAGCCGAGGGATTTCCAATGTGACAAACCTCCTGCCTGACAGACCAGACATCGGCAGCCCGGTGGCACAGAGCACACAGAAGAGTCCGTCAGCAGACAGACCACCTGACCTGTACCGTCCTGACGAGATGTCAGCCGAGGCTCTCACCAGGACCAAGAGTCCTGTTCGCAAGTTTGAGGTGGTCCAGAGGAAGAAGAAGGAGCTGGGGGGTTCTGGTGTGTCTATCCTTATCTTTAGACATGTATTCTGTGTTTTACATTGATCTAGCACATCAGCAACATCAGCTATCAGCTATGTACATGTACTTGTAGTCACAAAGTTCTTCATTGTTTGTAGTTAACTCACATGAGTAACAAAACGTAGCTATATGATTATACATGTTAAAAATAAAACATTATGAATGTGAAGAGGAGGCCAGAAACCTTAAATGGTCTCTCACTCCCTGACTCGAGGAAAAACTGTCCCAGAATCAACATGGACAGAAAGACATGACATGTCATGTCATGAGTCCACAAACCTAAAGCAGACACAGTACGGAAGGTACAAACTCTTCTGTAGTAAAAACCTGTTTTCCCCACAGATGGTCTGGAGAAGCTGAAGGAGAGAATCCGTAAGCAGAGGAAAGAAGCAGGAGCGGAGGATGTAGGGTCTATCCCTGCCAGGAGAGGTTACTCCGCGGAGCGGGAGGACCTGTCAGCACGCAGACTACACTCCGCAGAGGAACCTGTTACTGTGGCAACCAGGGGTGAGGAACCATACAGGTCAGAGGTCAGGTCAGAGGTCACACCCAGGATCAGGAAGATCAAGTCTGCCCCGCCTCCTCCGGAGTACAAAGGTCAGTCATGTGACTTCCTTATTTGGAAACTTTCTGTAGTTATGTTTTTTTGGCAAAATTGCTTTATTGTGGCTCCTTATTTAGTATCATATTCTCTTACACTGTAATTTATTTATGGTATTTCTTGACTCTACAGTTTTCTTGAAAATAGCAAAATTTTGTTAAAATACTAGCGTCTATTGAATGTATAACAAATTAAAGACTCTTAGTAAATAGATATCTTGTTATGTGCAAAGAATTTTGTTATGCAATAATTTACCAACCTGATGAAACTATTCATAGAAAAATGTCAAGTATATAATGTAAAATAACTATAATGAGAGCTGTGTTGTATTTGTCAAATGTTTATGTAATCGTGTGGTTGTCTATTCCCCAGGTTTCAGTGCAGCGGCGACCAAGTACAGAACCCAGGACGGGAAGGTCGTCACGGAGACAGAACTGGCACAGCAGCAGGGCAAAGGTCACACAGGGGTCAGAGGTCAGGGCAGCAGGGAGACAGCACCAGCAAGGAAGGACAAAACAAAAGGTGAAACAAAACTTTTTCAGCAGTTCAGCCAGTTCTTCATAGTTCTTCACAAGTATTACAAGTTAAACTTATCAGTACAGTCGATTTGAAGAAAATGGTGGCCAGTGTATGCAGGATTCTAAATTGTAATGCTTGGGTCAAGGAAACAGTTACTGTGCTACTTAAGGCCTGAGTCAAGCAACTGGATAGATTTTGAAAACATGCCAACATTCAAAATCTATGCAGTTGCTTCAGTATATAACTGCTACTTATTACTTGGATGTCAAACCCTTCCTTCACAAATGCTTGGGGCAGTAGGAAAAGTAATGTAACTGTAAGGTACAGCCAAGTTAGTTTCATCTCATAGGAATGGCAGAATGTAAGTTTTCAGACTGGTCTCATTCTCAGAGCTAGTAGCATGCGCAGTCCAGTGGTTATCGACCCTGCCTCTGGACTAAGAGGTTGGGAGTTCGAATCCCAGCTGTTGTTGCTCACCCAACATGCACGGTACTGGAAAGGGTCGCAGTCCATAGGACGGGACGTTAAGCCGTGGTCAGTGTGCTTGTCAAAAAGAGCCAGGGGAATGTCCCTGGTAAACTAAACCTGTACAATGTACACATGTAAATACTGTACATAGCGTCCGTCTTCTCTGTTACGACCAGTGGGACAGTAGCTCTTCAGTGAGCTAAAACTGGATAGAGATAACTTCCTTTTTTTTCCTCATCTGCCTGCAGCTCAGTCCAGACCAACCCCCCGCCCTGCCTCTGCTGCTGCCACCACCAAGTCCCCCAAACCTCATAGAAAGGTTGGAGCTCCTCAGTCGGCTAAAACATCCAGGCCTTCTAAAAAAGGTACAGACACTGTACATGTCTACTTCTGACATACCTTGTATCCAGAGCCATGCTTTATCCAGTCAGCCATGCTCTGACAAAGTCCTGGACAGTCCATGCATATCCAGAACTGTGCCTGGGACAAATCTATGTTCTGGGATATGCAAAGACTATCCAGAACCGTGCCCAATCCTAACCCTAACCGCATTCCGGGATAGAACTAGATAGGCATGGTTCTAGATATGATTTAGCTCTTACAAAGCTCAAAATACCACCTTCGGAAACTGTAAGCCAGATACATGTATTTCTAATGTGTACCTGAAGGTAGCCTAAACCACCAGGCCTGCTATGAAAGGTACACTGGCTGCTTCTGACATTATTGAATTTGTGATCTTCTTCCTTTACTTGTGATTTTTTTTCTGTATCTGATGTTCATTTTTCCTGTCTTTGTTATACAAGAATCATATCTTGTTTATTTCTTTTTCTCTCCCATGTGTCTGTCCCAGACTGTCCCCTGGCAGAAGTGACCACAGTCCCATCAGCCCACAGTCTCCTGTCCTGGTCCTCTCTACTCTGGAGTCTCCCCACTTACTTTGACTTCTCCTCTCTGCACTGTATGTTTTGTCTACTTTACCTTAAAGTGTGCTTTAATTTCCTTTGTAAATCTTCCATTTTCTGAGGTCTCTTCAACTTTCTTTGACTTCTCCTTTCTACACTGTATGTTACTTTGTCTTCTTCTTTATCTACAGTACAGTATTTTTTCAACTTCTCACTTCATTATACATTACCCACCTTTTCTAGTCTTCCGTTTTTCCTAGTTCTTAAGTAGATCATTTCTCTACATTGTATGTTACTTTGTGTACTATTCATATCGACTTATAGAGCATTTCTTTACTGTACCTATCAGTACTTACTTCAACCTACATGTTATCTACCATTGATTGTACTTTTCCTCTCTTGGCTGTTCTAAGTTACATGGATCTTCCAAGCTTCTTTTCTCCCTTTTCTTCTTACCTCCTTCTTTGTTTCATTTCTATGCATGAGAGTATATTTGTCGTGTAGTCCATGGTTCGATAAACTTGACCATTCTTATCGTGTTTCTTCAGGCATCATCACGACGTCAGCGTGGCGTGAGGGTCAGAAGGCAGCGCTGAAGGTCCTCGGTCCTCCCCCGAAACTCCCCAAACGCTCCTACTCCCCCCCGACAAAGGACACACAGACATCAACTGCCTCTGAATCCAGCTCTGTGGCAGCCAGGAAGGTAGCTAAGGAGGAGAGAACCATCGCTAGTGGTGAGCTGCAGTACTGGTATAAACTGATAGAGGGCAGTAGTGATATGGTTACTAGTAGCTTTGTGTAGGTAGGAATTCAGGAGGTAGAACTGAAGAGAGGAAATTGCGAACAGAAGACTGCAGTTCTAAGCTAAGACGCTAGAGGTATACTCCTTTTCCACTTCTTAGCTGCACTGATCTTATCTGTAACTGATCTGAGGCAGAAATATTGGTCAAACTTTTCTAAATGCATCCATACAATTTTTTTTCAAGACAAAGACATGTCATCAGATGACGACCTATCCCAGCATCCTCTGGAGGACCTATCCCAGGATCCTCTGGCAGCGATGGATGATGGGAAGGCTCCCAACACGGAGGTCCTGTCTAAGGAGGCCAGAGGGGTGTTTGATGATCTACAACTGGACAAGTCTGGTAAGGGTGGCAGGAAGATGTACATCCTGTCTACTTACGGACTTACATTGTAACATGGTCAAACTAAGTCCTGTCAGTAGAAATGTAGTCACTCTTTCTGCTTTAGTCAGTTCAGTTCTTTTACTGTACACCTCAAACAAGTCATTCAGACCAACTTCGTCCTCTTGTACTACTAACATCACTTGATTCTGAGGGAGACAAAGCAACCAAGTCCTTCTTGGAATGATACGTGAAACTATAATACGTTTGGAAATTGTTTCTTTTATTTGACCAGTAACCTATGACATTTGCTTGTTGCTTGCGCTAGTAGTTGTTCGTTATGTTAAAAGCCTTGGTTCCTAAGTTCCCTGACAAACTCCGTTGTATTTCCAGATGATGATGACTCGAGCACGCTAAAGTCAGAACAGCCGGCAGCACCAGACAAACCTGCAGCTCAGAAATCTGCAGCACAGACCAAACCTGGCAAGGCAGCCAAGAGGAAGGCATCCAAGGCCTCTCCTGGTACAGCCCTCTTTATGTCTATCGGTTCATCCGCCTCTCTCTCTGCCTCAGTCTCTCGTTCCTCCCCTTTTCTCTCTTTCTTTCTCTCGGTTCAGTTGAGAGCTATTGCAATTAGTATGGAATTTGAAATACAACTGTTGGAAAAAAATAACATGTAAAGAAAACACTGCTAGTAAGTAAAAGAACAGTCATTTTATTTTGTTGAAATGTGAATGTATGAATTGAACGGTACTTCCCAAGCACTGAAGCAAGGGTGCTCCCCCTCTCCCCTAAATGCTAGCACCTCTGCCAAAATCTTTAAATTTAGGGTTTTTTTTTAAATATTTTCATGAAAATTCACTGATTTTTTTTCCTGACATCAACCGGGAGTCAGGTTGATGTCAGGGAGCACCTCTCCCCTAAAAAGTCACTGGGAACAGGAAAATCTTTCAGTTTCTTTTTGATAAACCTTCTTTCATGTGTTTTTACCCCCAGTGAAAGAATCGGAGCTCCCTGCGACCAAGCTACGTCACTACGACCACAGCGAGGTGCGGCGGTACATGAACAAGAAGCGAAATGAGAGACAGCGGAAACTTAAAGAACAGAGAGAAGCTCAGAAGAAAGCCGAGGAGGAGAAACAGAAGATGCTGGATGAACTGGATAAGAAGAGGAGGGAGGGATGGAGGGAGCATGTGAGGGAGGAGAGGAAGGGCAAGCCAAAGGGCAGCACTTTTGTCAAACCGACTGTGAGAGACGCGGAGTTGCCCAAACGACACCCCTTCCACGAGGACAGGAGACCAGTAAGATCAATGTTCAGAGCTCAAGACGAATGAAGATGTTTAGAACTTAAACATGAGTTAAGATTTTAACTAAGCTTTCTGCAAACATTCTAGTCCACTTCACAGTTTTCTGTGAGTTATTGTGTATTTGATTGTTTTGTTGTTTTTCACTATGAAGCAATCCACTCCATTCTCCCTGTGACCTTTATACAATAATCTTTGTCCTTGTGACCTTGTCCCAATGCCGCCCCCCTCCCCAGTTGTGCCGGCCCGTGGTTAGTGAGGAGTCAGATAAAGAGAACGCGGGGCGCCGGGCAGAGCGACCCTGGAGCGGCTCCAGTGCTTCTGTGTCCAGCGAGGACAGGACACCTGTCATCACACCTGAGGCAGACAGGTGGGATAGGCGAGAGAACATCAAATGTCTCACACCTTTAGTTAGCTCACTAGTAATGAAGACTTTTAGTACACTGAATTAGTCCATTGATGAAAGAGTTAGGCAGCAGGAAGATAGTGAGTTATTTCTTGTTTACATGTCTTACAATATGGCCACAACAATTTATTTTGCTACCTCTCAGACTCTTATAACCATTACTGGATGGCTGTGCTAAAAAATAAAGGCAGCCATTCCACTAAACATTCCACTAAACAAGTTGTAGCACTCTTTCGAGTCCTTGGACTTTTTTTATTTTCTATTCACTTGAGGCTAAAAAACAGTCCGATTTCCTTACAAGTTATGAACTAACCAGTGACACGTTTTATGTTTGCAGATCCCCCGAGCCACCAGCTGCTGGTCCATCCAGAACATCATCAGTACCCCCTGCACCCTCCGTAACCATGACAACTGTTCCCCCGGCAACCACCGGCCCCTCCATTTCCATCCGGGGAATCCCCTCCGGGCCGCGTGAGGCCGCCGCCCCGCCGGACCGACCAATCAGCTTCCATGATGCGTACATCGAGCAGCTTCACGGGAAGCAGCCGGACGTGTCGTCGGCGCGGGCGGGCGGGGCATCGCTTAGCAACGGGGGGTACAGCATCGCGGGGTCCAGGCTGTACAGCTCTACATACTCCAGATACCCCATCGGTGAGAACCTGTGATGGATCATTATGCGTGGATCAACTAGGCCAATCATTAGATCATCTCAAATCAGACATGAAAAAAAATTGTAGAAGTCCAAAAATTGGACCAAATCCAACTACTGTCATATTGTGGAAATGTAAATTTTGCGAGATTGTATAAAAATGATTTTTGATTGACACCGTTGGATCTGGTTTCTCTCCATATCATCACTGGCATTTGTATTGTGGTACTTTTACTTCTACAAAGATTTAGTCTCAAACATGTAATGGCATTGTTCGTATTATAAAATTATGGCAGAACCAAACATATGTTAACCAAAAACACTTTCAGTGTAACTGAAACTGCATCGTGAACATCTTGTTCCTGCAGGCGGTAAGCCTACAAAGATTTACACCTACTGTCAGGTTCGTGCTAACAAAAACAAATTTGTTTCTTCAGGAGGTTACCGCAGTTCCTCAGGCCGGAGTAAGGCTGAGCGTATCGCTGCACTTCAGGCCACGGCAGAGTCTCTACAGGACAGGATCGAGACGGAAGCTCGCAGGATTGTGGAGGGACTGGAGGGAAAGGAGGGTCAGTGTAACAGCCTTACACAATTTCTCACTGTTAGGATGATTGGCCTCTTCACCAAGAGCTTGTTCCTGTACACCTTGAACTGGAGAGAACCATTCCCAGAACTACCAATAGGAGATCAGGACATCAAAACAGTCTAGTAATAGGAGCTCAGTGTAGATTTTTTTAGGGCATATTGCGGATCACTGCTCTTGTAGAACTATTAAAAGGGGGGGGGCGGAGCCACGACAGCTAAAAGATTTTTGTGCTTGTGTCGTGTTGGAATACAATGCATTGCTCACCATCTGAAAGGCTAATTGTCGAAATTCTAACATTGAAAATCTCTTCCATCGTAGCCTCACCACCTGGTGCAGGGCGGTGGGCCTACAGCAGGGCGGAGACATCTCCACGACAACAGACAGGTGTTCTGCCAGGTACAGGTGTTGTCTCAGGTCCTGCTGCCTCCTCCAGAGACTACACAGCCTTTACTGGAGACCTGCCTGGTAATGGTGATCTCATGACATGTTTGGGACTGAAGTTTGGAATTGGAGTGTGAACATTTGACTTTAACCTTCTCCCTGCTGCCTAAACCCATAACCCATACATGTACAAGTCTGGTGTTAAATGGCTGCCTTAGCAGGCTGAGGGTTACAATGTAACTAGCTTTAGGGCTGTTTAACCTTCTCCCTGCTACCTAAACTTAGCAGGCTGAGGGTTAATGGTCCTGTCCCAAATGCTGAAACTGTGGTGGTTATTAACCTCCTTGCTGCCTTACCCTATAACCAGTACAAATTTGGTGCCAAACAGCTACCTTATGTATGACATTGTCTTTCTAAGTTGTTTTTCTGTAATGTAGGGTTAGGGTTTCAAGTGGCCATTTATAGGGTTTCTTACCAGTGTGTACAAACATGTCCCTAGGTGTGAGCAGTATTACCCAGCATGCAGCTGACTCGGAGCGTGACAGACAGCAGGTTGCCGCGGCAACTAAGATCCAGGCAGCATATCGAGGTCACCACGTCCGACAGGCGCTCGACTGGAGCATTCCATCCGGGCGCACCGCGGGGGGAGGCAGGACCCACCTGGGGGTAAGGACTGTGTTTTTATTGTTACAGAAGTGTTGTGTATATTGACTAAGATCCAGGCAGCGTACCGAGGTCACCATGTCCGACAGGCGCTCGACTGGAGCATTCCATCCGGGCGCACCGCGGGGGGTGGCAGGGCCAACCTCGGGGTAGGACAGTGGTTTTATTCTTACAGAAGTGTCCTGTAGAATCTGATGTTTACATATTACTTGATAAACTGTCATTATATGAGAAGGTGCTATATTCAATAACGAGTTGGTTTTTACCGATGTTTTGTTGACCGTCTGTCATCTTCTTTGGGGCAACAATGACTGGTTCTGGTTCGTACTGCAGCTAGGTGTCACTGCTGCAATATTTCAAATTCGATCCCAAACATAACATGTACAATGTTTTCAGATGTGAAGTACAGTCATTACCGTACTGAAGAAGTTGTCATGACAGACGGTCATTAAAACATTTGTAAAAACCTGTTAAATAAGGAACGTTCTCACACTATGTGTGTATGTCACATAACTTTTTGAGTTTAAAGAACTAGAAGCCCCTGTGTGTCCTCCCCAGTTATCAGCTGTTGATGAGGAGACCAGAAGTAACACCTCCAGCCTGAGCGAGGGGCGGCTTAGTGGGGGGTCCCTGTCGGAGGGAACTCTCACAGACTCCACCGTAGACAGCACAAGACATGAACAGCCTCCTGGCAGGAAGGTAGGGATGTCCAACACAACATCTTCCTTTATCTGATCAAGGCTGAGGTCTATGTGTATTATTTTGACAATGGCTTAATCGACTGACCAGCCATTCAGTTTGTTTGGTTTTTGTTCTTTGATTAGTGCAGGCCTACTGTACTTGAAGGCACCAGAAATAACTAGTTATAAACTTACTGAATATGTAACTCTATATTACTGAGTCTAAACGATGCTCTGATTTTATCCCAGATTGCAGACACATTAAGTAAGCCCGAGTTCTGTGCTTCCACAAAGAAAGGTAAGGGTCATGTTCTACATAGTGCTCTAAAATATGGTCTTGTGAATATCATAGTAGAAGGAAATATTAGAGCAGGGAATTAGAACATCATCCTTAGAATATCCGGTAACTTTGTTGAGCAGCTGAAACTCTGTAGACCTTCATGATCAGGTACTAGGTCTGAAAGAGTAATGCTAACTAGAAAGGCCGACATTTGCTTGAGAGCAAATGCAGCAGATGGCTTCACCACATCCCCCATACCGAAAATGGATCTATCCTACGATGGCTGCCAATAGTCTACACCCCCATGCAGCAATGGAACCTTCCAATGCCGGAAATAGCCAAAAAGCCCTATTTTACATAACTTTAAAGTGGTGTATGTCAAAATCGAGAATGACATTCTTTGGACATGTGTCCAAGGTATCCCCATACCAAATTTCAGGTCATTCGGATTTAATATTAGGGCACAGGAGCCAAAAATGTACATTTTTGGTCCGAAAATAGCAAAAAAGCCCTATTTTACACAATTTTAAAGTGGTATATGTCAAAATCGTGAATGGCATTCTTTGGACATGTGTCCAAGGTATCCCCATACCGAATTTCAGGTCATTCAGATTTAATATTAGGGCACAGGAGCCAAAAATGTACATTTTTGGTCCGAAAATAGCCAAAAAGCCTTATTTTTCCCAATTATAAAGTGGTGTATGTCAAAAGCTTGAATGACTTTTTGTAGACATATGTCCAAGGTACCTGGGAACCAGATCTCAAAATGTATATTTTTTGCCTGAAAATGGCCAAAAAACCCAAATAAAACAATTTTTCAAAAAAATGAAAAAAACGCGTCAGGGTATTTGCCCACTCTACCTTCATGCCAAATTTCGTGTTATTTGGCCAGAAAATGGCAGAGATGAATCCATTTAAAGAAATGGCAGGAGGAGAAGGAGGAGAAGGAGAAGAAGAAACATGAGGGAACACAATATGTCTTCACCACTTTGTGGTGAAGCCATAACAATTGAACCACGCACTACATGCTACATGTATATACATTTTGCACCATACCTACTACTTGTGTGCTACTCCAGAAGAGTCCCACTACAAGCCCCTGGAGCCGTGGAAGCCTCGAGAGGAGCCAGTCAGGAGGAAGTACCCATGGGAGGAGCCGAGGGGGGACAGCCTCAGTGTTATCAACATCTACACACGGCAGTATGAGGAGGCAAGGAAAGGTACATGCCTCACACCCCTGCTGGGGAAGTGGACTGATCCTATGTCAGGTTTTTGCTGGCTTTGAGTGAATCAAACCTTTGCGTTTTGTTTGGGTGAAAGTAGACCTTGATTTTATGGATAACAATCAAGTTTTTGGAAAAAGATCTTAGCCTGTTAATAAGAATAGATACAGTCAAAAACCTGCCCAAGTTGCCACCCAGGGGATGGCAGTTAAGTGGTCTAAATCTTCTTGGGTAAGTCAGGACTGGAAAAAAGTGTCTGGGTAGTCAGCTAGAAGAGGTGGCTGTCTGACCAGGTTTGACTGTACACTGCTCTTCTAAGATAGCCTGAGTGTCAGCCTTTTTAGCTTTCGTAGCGGATCTTGGGGAGCGGATGAAAGCTAAAAAGGCTGACATTCAGGCTACCACTACGACAGAACACTGATACATACAGTGTTTTGATTTTACCTTTTACCTGTTTTACAGCGAGACATGCCCAGTCCGAGCGGCCGAAGTCCCGAACCCCCTCCCCCCGCACCGCTGACCCCTACAGGAATGACCTGACCTCCCCACGACCCGATGACCCCTACAGGAACCCCTCCCCTCGACCCGATGAGTACGAGGACGACTTCACCAGCTCTGCGACCTCACGACCTCTGACCCAACATGGCAGCAGGGGGTCAGGTTACAGGGACGACAGGCTTCACCCTACCAACGGGGCCAAAGGTCATAGCTACGGGTCAGAGAGAGGTCATGGGTCATTGTCAAGGGAACCTATCGGCAGCAGCCATCACTCCAAGCCAATCGGGAGAGAGGGCACGGGAAGGTCAAGTCACTACTCAAGGTCAGCTCAAGACAAGGATGAAGACACCTTAAACTCCTCTTTAACTCTAAGGTGGGTTACTAAGGTCCTTGTTATAGTGCAAATGTTTCTTTAGTAATGTTTCAACTAAAATAGGCCTGTAACTGTTCCTTGATGTATCAGTTTATTCAAACCGTTTCAAATCAACCACAGAAAGAGCATACATGTACAAGTAGGTATTTGTCTCTTAACGACAAAAGAAAGTTAACCTTCAGCAAAGATCCAAATTGATGAATCATGTCTTTTCTTACCTCCACAGTTCTGAGGATGAGCAGCCCTCCCCACAGAGACAACCCCTTCACAGCCACCAGTCTTCCAGGAGCCACACAGACCCCTCCAGAGCCTCAGACCCCCCTCGAACTTCGCCCCCTCGAATATCTGACCCTCCTCGAACCTCGCCCCCTCGGTTCTCCCCCGTCACCATCGACCTTCGCTCCCGTTCCCCGATCAACGGTGCGCGGAGGAAGACCCCCTCCCCCACTGACGGGGGGTGCACAGGAAAACCCCCTCGCCCATCGAGGGGGGTACCCGGAGGGGGGTGTACTCGCCGACAGAGGGGGCCTACAGAAGAACCCCCTCCCCAGTAGAGGGAAGGAGAGACTTTGCGACGAGCAGATACGACAGAGATGTACCAAGATCGTCCTTTAGGGTAGGTGACGGTATTTGACGTTGTAATGTTTTTGTTGAGTCCAGCAGACGTGGCTTTGTAAATTGCAGGTTTCGGACGTCTCAAACCTGATTTGAATATTTGAGGATAGTATAAGGCTCAGAACTATGTTTGGTGAGGTGGCCTCATTGTTACATGTAGATAAAGAACCTTCATATACAGCCTCTTGCCAACCTGATGAAATCAGTCACTTTACGTCTTTAGTAAATGTACTTTTTGAATTTGAGCAGAAAAATTAACCTAGTAAGCCTTGGTTGATGCTCCAGCCCTTAGGTTTTTAGTTTTTGCAACTGCTTCTCTGTTACAGTAGTACTTTTTTTAAGCACAAAAAATAACCTCAAATCTTCCCCCCATCATCCAGCCCCTGCCCACCAGTGGTTCCTACAGCGTGGGTTCACGCTACTCCCCGGCTACCCTGGGAAACCGGATGGCAGCAGAACTGAACTATCTGGAGTCAGAAAAACTAACCTTGCCTCCCTGTACATGTGTTCCAGCCCCTGCCCACGTCCAGTTCCTACAGCGTGGGTTCACGCTACTCCCCGGCTACCCTGGGAAACCGGATGGCAGCAGAGCTGAACTATCTGGAGTCTGTGGAAGAGTCGGTACGGCAGCTGGGGGATGTGGAACGCACGCGGGGCGTGGGGATGGCTCAACAGGAGTCTGTATCACTCGCACAGATACTCAAGGTACGTCGTAGGGTCAGGGTTAGAGTAGGGCTAGGGCTAGGGCTAGGGCTAGGGCTAGGGCTAGGGCTAGGGCTAGGGCTAGGGCTAGGGCTAGGGCTAGGGTTAGCGTTAGGGTTAGGGTTACGGTCTGGAGGAGTTGGTATGGCAGCTGGGAGATGTGGAACACAAGCGGGGCATCAGGATGGCTCAACAGGAGTCTGTCTCACTCGCACAGATACTGAAGGTACGTTGTAGGGTTATGGGTTAGGGTTAGGGTTTGAGTTGGGGTTTGGGTTAGGGTTAAGGTTAGGGTTATGTTAGGGTTAGGGTTATCAGGGGTCGAAATAACCCTGTGTGTGCAACTTGGTGCAAGTAGATTTGGTGTCGTGCAACTAATTTTTTGCCTGCAGGCACCATGGTGCAAGTTTGCTTTATCCACTGTTACTACCTGTAGAATTACCCAATAATATTAATTAATAAAGAACTGGAGTGGAAAGGAACAAAACCAGAATCCATGAAATTTTTCTTCATTTTTTGTAAGTAACAGAAGGTTACTATCTACGTCGCTGCCAGCGGATGTTTCCCATCACTTCTGTATTTTTGGAGGGTGCAACTATTTTTCTTCCGGTGCAAGTATTTTTCTTTTCATTTGCACCAGTGCAAGTTGGCCCCAAAATCTATTTCGACCCCTGGTTATGTTAGGGTTAGGGTTAAGGTTAGGGTTATGTTAGGGTTAGGGTTATGTTAGGGTTAGGGTTAGGGTTAGGGTTAGGGTTAGGGAGAAGGCTAAGGCAAGGGCTATAGGGTTAGGGCTAGTGTCAGGCTATGTTTGCTATAAACCCTCTTGTTTCCTACTGTTTCCAGGCCCGTCAGCAGCAGCATGAGAGAGAGATGGCAGAGTTGACGATAAAGGTTGTTAGGGTTGGGGTTGGGGTTAGGATTATGGCTAGGCAGTGTCTGTAGAACCTTGTGTTTTATAAAGCTCTTGTTTCCTGCTGTTTCCAGGCCCGTCAGCAGCAGCACGAGCGAGAGATGGCCGAGCTGACGATGAAGGCTCGGCAGGAGGCGGTGGAGGCGAGTCGGCAGCTCGAGGACGCGCGCCGGAAAGCAGCCAGCACCGCCGCCGAGGCCGCCCAGGCCATCGCACACGTGCGGAACGAAGCATCGTCAACCATTAACGAGTCGGCGAGGAAACTCATGGAGACGCAAGCCGAGGCCACGAGGGCAACGGCAGAGGCCGCTAAACAACTGGCAGAGGTTTGTTTGGGCCACTGTACTTCTTTTCTGTTTGTTTCACAACTACACCTTAACTACACACACTTCAGCACCAAGGATAAGTAAAATCTTTTTGAAAATTATTCTTCAAGGCCTAGTGAAAAAAATTTGTTTCTTGTTTCAGCCCTGAAGTCCATGGCTCAGGCTTAGATCATGGAGCTAGAAATGGTCGATCAGCTCTAAAAATTTACATCCCTTGCAGGAGTCCACCCAAAAAAAGGCTAGGGTCGGCAGTTTTTCTAGGGTCAGTCAGGAAACCCATTTTTTTCCTAGGCCTTACCAGAATTACTAGAATTAAGAAAAAATATTGCATACTATTATTTTTAGTATTTTAGGCAAATTTTTGTGTTTCTTTCATAATTAAAATTTCTATTGGTGTCCCCAGGCGAAGACTGCCTCTCTGGAGCAGACCTCGGCCCTGCAGGCTCACGACGCAGGCAGGCTGGCCACGGAGACAGCAACAGCCGCAGCCACAGCAGCTGTCACCGCAGCCATGGAACAGCAGAACAGGCAACAGGAGCAGCTGCTGAAAACCCTGCAGCAAGGCAGCCAGCCTTACAGGTGGGTTCAGTTATGATAGACACTGGTATGGAACGGCAATAGAGATGGAATAGCTGTGATGGAATACCAAAACTGACAGGAAAAGCTTGATCCCATTATTGTTAATAGTTAAACTGGGAGGTCAAAAACATACAAGGCACATACTTTTGCAACATGTAACGTACTGATTGTAAATGCCTAATGAATTTAGACTGTGTACATGTAAATCTGCAATGTGGTATCTGCAATGAAGATGTCAAATTTCAAAGTAACCATCGGTAAATAACAAAGTAACTATAAAAATGCTGTCCTTTGAATTCAATGATTCACAGGAATGGTCACTCTTGAAAGGCTTCCAAGTATAATTAAACTTAACTCTTACTCTACCATCTTGCCCACCGCCTTAGATCCCGTGACCCCCGAGACAGAGCCCGCCCGGACACGCGGAGCTCCTACAGCAGCAGCTACACCACGACAGACTACGACAGCTCCAAGACGTCTCCTGCCAAGACTTCCCTCTCTAAGACTCCACCTTCTGTAGATGACAAACCTCCTGCCAAAACACGGCCAAGGTCACCTCACAAGTCTGAGGAGTGGGTGGAGTTTTGGAAATACTTTCTTTAAGAAATTGTTAAAAATTATGCATTATGCATTCAAACAGTGCGCCTATTTCTGAAAATTGAATTTTAGTCCCTGACAAATTAAGGAACCAGGTAACAGCTACTCAAGCAGCTAGATAGATTTTTAAAACAGGACTGGTGTTTCAGGTAGCATCCACTTCTTTTTGTAAGTGACTCTTTTTTGATATTGTTTATAGCAGTCACTAACAAAAGGAGTAGATGCTACTTGAAACGCCTGACAGTTTTCAAAATCTGTCCAGCTGCTTGAGGAACAGTTTTCAGTGTATCTCTTAACCTCAATGTCTAACCTGCTGTGCCATTGCCAAACCACCACAGTCATCATGTCTTACAAGCACTCAGAAAGACTCAGCGAGGACACCCCTGCTGTGCCCTTCTTAATCCCCATGTCATATTTAACAGGCATACAGACAGTATCAGCGAGGACATCCCCACGGCCAGCGACCAATCGCAGCAGGCCTTGGGTCGCCATGGGAACGACACGCAGTCTTCCATCGGTGAGGAGCTTCCTTCAGGAGCGGCAGACGTCTCCAAGGACGAGAGCATCGCTGAGGAGATACCTGAAGACAAAGGTAGCCGAGATGTACATGTAGGGTCTGGTAACTACATGTATGTTTCTAACGTGTCTATTACAAGCATGCCCAAGCAAAACTGATGTCAAGAAATGTCATTTTACACTTGTAATCCAGGTGCAAAATGAGTACCTGACTTTGGTTGGGGAGGTAAAAGGCAATGGAAGGAGAGGGATGGGCTCTGTGTGCTATATACAACCATTGAATAACAACCCACTGCCCCTACAGCCTTACAAAGGCTATAGGACTATGTTTACCTTTTCTTTAATATTTTCTTGAGAAAGCTGCCAAACCTCTGAATTTTCTCCCTACCCTGCAGTGTCTGGTAGGAAGTACAGCTACTCCATGAAGTTTGATGAGTCCTTAACCGAGTCTGAGATGGAGGAGGTGTCCTTTAAGATTATATATTTCCTGAAGAAAGTTAACAAAGTTGAATGTGATTTTCTTAAGAAAGTTGACAAAGTTGTAAATCTTGCCTTCCAGTGTCTGTATCGGGTAGTGAGTACAGCTACTCCATGAAGTTTGATGAGTCCCTGACGGAGTCTGAGATGGAGGAGATGTCCTTAAAGATCCTGTATTTTCTTAAGAAAGTTGTGAATCTTCCCTTGCAGTGTCTGTCTCCGGCAGTGAGTACAGCTACTCCATGAAGTTTGATGAGTCCCTGACGGAGTCTGAGATGGAGGAGATGTCCTTTAAGATGCTGCTCCCGTCCGAGAGCCACCGCAGACGCAGCATCGGCGGGAAGAAGCAGAAAACGCCGGAGGCGAGCCCCCGGGACCAGTCAGATGCAGCGTCTTACTCGTCTGACGAGCTCCACTCGACTGTCGGATCAGGAAAGGTGACTACTGAAATAAAACAGTAATTTGAAAACCACTGACAATCAGTTTTTTGCATGAATTTTCTTTGCACCCCTTTTGAGCACTACTATGCAATACGATATGCTCAAATTCTAAAAATATACACACTGTAGCTCCTAACAACTCTGCAATTAGAAACTTTGAGGGGGGAATAATGCAGTCTTGTTTAGAAATGGTTACCGTTTAACTGTTGCTGATCATGAAAAGAAATTCTTTGTTGATCCCATATACCGTGAGTCCTTATCAACTACATTTATATTCAGATAACAGCTACTCAAGCAAGTTGAGATAGATTTTAAAATTTACTCTTGAGTATTTTTATCTCCCTATCTGATTACCTGGATGTCTAACCTTGATCAATGTACCAATGATATTTTATTGTTCTGTGTTTAGTTCACGTTTGAAGGAGCGAGCTCACCATTTTCTGCGGAGGATTCCTTCAGCCACTTCATGTCAGACATGGTGCAGCAGTACATGCATGAGGAGGAGGTCAGGGCAAGGCATCAGGTAACTATATAACTAACCTTACACACTCGTACAGTACGTACTGTACACCTACACACTCACACTTACAAACACACACACACACACACACACACACGCTCACACCACACACACACACACACACGCACACACACACTCACACACACTCCACAAGGCACCAGGTACTGACTGAGTCTCACACTTGTAGTGGCACACACAGTAGTGGTACATACCCTTCTGTTACAATAGCAGAAGTGTTACTCACA